TATTCCGAGGTTTGATGATTTAATTGATCAACTGCATGGAGCGACTATCTTTTCGAAGACAGACTTGAGGAGTGGATATCATCATATTAGGGTGCGTCCTGGAGATGAGTGGAAGACCGCTTTTAAAACTCGAGATGGTCTGTATGAGTGGATGGTGATGCCTTTCGGGTTGTCTAACGCACCGAGCACCTTTATGAGATTGATGAATCAGGTGTTTCGTCCTTTTATTGGCCAGTTTGTCGTCGTATATTTCGATGATATTTTGGTTTATAGTGTATCGACTGATCAACACTTGCAACATTTGAGAATGGTGTTCGAGACATTGAGAGCACAGAAATTATATGCTAATATCAAGAAGTGTCACTTCTTGACTGATCGTGTGACCTTTTTGGGCTATATAGTAACTAAGGAAGGCATTCATATGGACCCAGCTAAGGTTGAGGCTATTACAAATTGGGAGATTCCGAAAAATATTCATGAGGTACGTAGCTTTCATGGGCTTGCATCTTTTTATCGGAGATTTATTCGGGATTTTGGTACTATTATTGCACCTCTGACGGATTGTCTGAAAGGAAGTAAATTTGTGTGGACTAAGGAGGCAGAAGCTGCCTTTCAATTATTAATGAGATTTTTTAGGTGCATTGTGATGCTTCAGGTGTTGGTATTGGGGGTGTCCTAAGTCAAAAATGTAAACCTGTGGCATTCTTTAGTGAGAAGTTGAACGAGGCGAAAAGGAAATATTCAACTTATGATAAAGAATTTTATGCTATTGTGAGGAGTTTGGAGCATTGGAGGCACTACCTTATTTCGAAAGAGTTTATCTTATTTTCTGATCATGAAGCCTTGAAATATATCAATGGGCAGCACAAATTGAATGCAAGGCATGCAAAGTGGGTGGAGTTCCTTCAAGTTTTTAGTTTTTCCATCAAGCATAAGGCAGGAGTGCTAAATAGTGTGGCAGATGCATTGAGCAGAAAACATTCTTTGCTGTATACGATGCAGGTAAAAGTTCTAGGCTTTGACACTTTTAAAGATTTATATGTTGATGATCCTCATTTTGGGGATATCTGGAGGACGAGCAAAACGGAGCCTTTTCAGCAATTTCAAATCGTGAAGGGTTACCTATTTAAAGGTAACCGATTGTGCATTCCTCAATGTTTTTTGAGGGAATATATTATTATTGAGGGACATGCGGGCGGTTTAGCTGGGCACTTTGGTGTGGATAAGACGAAGGCCTTGTTGAGTGAACACTTTTATTGGCCTCGGATGGAGCGTGACGTGACACGTTTTATAGAGAGGTGCAGGGTATGTCATGTGGCAAAGACTAAGAGTACTAATGCAGGATTGTATATGCCTCTACATGTTCCAGTTGCGCCGTGTGAGGATGTCAGTCTTGACTTTGTCTTGGGTTTACCAAGAACGCAGCGGAGTAAGGATTCAATAATGGTGGTTGTTGATAGATTCTCGAAGATGGCCCACTTTGTCCCGTGTAGCAAGTCCTATGATGCTTCACAGGTTGCTCGATTATTTCTGCAGGAGATTGTTAAGCTGCATGGAATTCCTAAGTCCATTACCTCAGATCGTGATGTGAAGTTTGTGAGTCACTTCTGGCGCACTCTTTGGAGGTACATGGGTACAAGTTTGAAGTTTAGTTCATCTCATCATCCTCAGACTGATGGTCAAACAGAAGTTGTCAATCGAAGCTTAGGGAATTTGCTGCGGAGTTTGATTGGAGATAATCCGCGACAGTGGGACTTGGCATTGCCTCAGGCGGAATTTGCATATAACAGGTCAGGGAACCGAACTACTGGCAAGACTCCTTTTGAGGTGGTTTATGGGCGTAATCCAATTACTCCCTTAGATCTCACACCGATACCAGTTCTCAAGCAATTTAGTTCGGAAGCTGAAGAACATGCAAAGCATATCAAAGAGCTGCATTCCTAGGTCCATAATCAGATCAACAAGCAGAACATGAAGTATAAGCAACGCGTGGATATACGCAAGAAAAGAGTTGTCTTCAAGAAAGGTGATCTAGTTTGGATTCACCTTAGGAAGGAACGATTTCCAGCGGGTAGGTTTGGCAAGCTTCAACCTAGAGCTGATGGACCTTTCAGAGTTTTGGAGCAAATTAGTGACAATGCTTACAAGATCGAATTGCCGGGTAAGTATAATGTATCCGGAACTTTTAATGTAGCAGATTCGTCACCTTACTATCCTGAAGAGGAAGAAGATCCTGAGGAGATTGACGACGACAATGAAGGCGAAGCAGATTCGAGGACGAATCTTTCTCTAGCAGGGGAGGATGATGCACCTAGGGGGGACCGGCGGACCCGTTATGCGACTGGACGATCGGCTGGTTTGAAGTCAACGATATCAGATTGAGCTCAAATTTGGTCGGCTGAAGCGAAACGGCATGCTGATCAATACTCACCGCCTTTGGCCGTGACTAACGATGGATTTTTGTGATTCGAGATTGTTTAGATGGATTTTTCTATTTTTTTAGTATTTTTTTATGGGTCAATTTAGTAGAGGGCAGTTTCGTAATTTTGCGTTTTGATGTTTACTAATCCTAGTAGGGTTAGGTTTGGGGATATATAAGCTTGTTTTAGGGTTTCCTTTGAGCAGACTTTGAATATTTTTTATTTGATAATCATATTTGGAGGACGAATTGTTCTTCTGTCGAATTTTCTTGTTCAGTCAAATTTTCTATCGCGTTTCGACATCAGAACAGAGAGTAAGAGATCGAACCGAGAGTTTACAGGTTGCAACGGGAAGCCAGCAGCCTCACCGTCGCCCACGGATTAGCCGGCAATCTCTCACCGTCGCCCACGGATTAGCCGGCAATCTCCCACAGACGCGTCTCCAACCGGTAAGCTCTCTCGGTCCTCGTTATTGTTCTGTTTTCCCTGTTTTGGTCTATAGGTTGGCCAGGACTCACGCCAGCCATTTCGCGCAAATCCCGACCCATACCGTCCTTGCTCACGGTCCAGATGTTGATGTCGGAGACGAGTCACAGTCTCCAGAGTAGGTTTGAGTCTCGGAAAAAATTGATTTTCCCCTGTTTCGGTCGTGCACTCCACGTATTCGACGAAATGCTCACATGAACCTAGTTTTACTTAAGTCCTCTGCCGACGATACCGAGCTAACCGGCGAGTCTCAAACCTCTTGGGTGGCCTTATGACAGTCATTGGAGGCCAGATCAGGTTAAAGTATGACCTAGGTTGATTTGGGCTCAACGAGCCCCGGTCAGAGCTTAACCGGCAACGGCTCTGGTCGGCCGTCCGGCGAGCCGTCGCCCCCAATCTCTTCAGCTTGAAGTGCTAAGGCGATAGAGACCAAAGGCCGGGTAAAACAGCTGGAAAATCGCCGGATTTCTGCCCAGTTGATGGCCTCCCAAGCTTAAAAAGGTCGGAGAAAGTCTAAACCGGTCAGCAGAGCTGGTTGGACCGGTCTATCGGCCCTATTTTGTCCTCTTCCATAGGACCGAGCCCGATCTGGTCCAAGACCCGGGTTGACCCCAACCCACTTCGGATCCGGAGATTCGACCCGGGTCAACGCATATGGGTCGGGTCCGTTGACCCGGGTTGGTTTTGACCAAACCCGGATCCTCCGACCCGACCCGGTCGAATATTTTATTATTTTAAATTAAAAATATTATTTTAAAAAAATCACAAAAATATTGTTTTTATCTTTCTTTTAAAATTAAGAAATAATTTAGAAATTAGTATTTTTTGAATATTTTTCTAAATTATGTGAATTATTTGGTTAATAATCATGTTTAAATCGAAGAAGCCTATAGGGCTATACGGTAATATTTTGCATATTATTTTTATTACTATTGTATTATTATTGTGCATGTTGTTTATAATTAGTATATAATTGCATAAATTGTCATGTATTGAATGTTGTCACCTTAGTTAGGTTTAGAACCCTAGGCTGCTGCATGTTTATCTTGACTGCTAATCGTTAATGATTGTGCACTTGTTTGATCACCTCACATGTTAGGAGATAGGTCCTAAAATTAATTCAAACTGCCTGAAAAATATTTTATGAAATGAACAAGATAAAAGGTACTGAAAGGGCACTAGTCACTCGACTAATGTAACTAAGTTCCCGAACTCATTTAATCTCTGGTTCGTAGGCGTAAGGTGATTCTCCCGTCACCTTACTTGGGTGTTTCTAATTGACCCACCCCAAATCGATTAGTAGCGACTTCTAGATAAAAATCACTTGCAGGTTAAAAAACCTAAATCCTAAGTCGCGATATGGTATGGGCTTGGGAGACCCTGAGTTAAACCCCAGACCTAGACTTAGCGCATACCAGGCGAGACCCTTTTTTAAAATCGGAGATCGGTTGCGACAATTATTTATGGTAATTAAATAAATATCATACTAATTATAATGAATCAAGGATATGCGCAATCAATGGTGATATATGCATAATCCTTGGAGATATGGAGAATCAAATAAAATATCTCAATTATCTCTAACAAATAATTAGATTTAGGAATTTTATGTGGATATATATTACAACAAAAGAATTTGGCATAGTTGTTACATGAGGTCCTATCATTTATCCTACAATAAAAGGAATGCAGTTTCCTTTACAAGCCGAAATATACACAACCTACAACCTGAGGACATCATCATAGATCTCCAAATGTTGCTGTTGAGATCTCTTCATTCTTGCGAGTGCATAAAAATATTTAATGAGCTTGTTATAGCCATACATTCCAATCGAACTACGTAAATTATATGCGCTTATTTTAATGTTTGCATCCATATTTCAAAACATCTCTCAATCGAGCTTTGGTGAAGCTATCTCGTGTTAGTAAAGTAGATTGCGTTTATGGCTCTGATAACACGGTCTTCTACTGAAATTGTAGAATCTACACGGCCCAGCAAAACCCGCAGTTTATCAGGGCCTAAACTGTAGCTAGCACGACCCATTTTCCTTGTCGCGCATGTGACAAGAGCTTGTTTGTTTGCTTGCCCAATCATAATGAAATATAGTTATTGACTTATTGTAATGACATTATAATTTCAAGTCAATCAACAAGGATTGATCTTGATACAATACATCTATTGGACTTATATTAATACTTCATGCAACGGGATAGGAAGCTAGCGTGGCGATCCCGCAAAGTCCTTCCTTAGCGTGGACCTCTCTCTGGATCCTCACGTATCCCTCCTCGCCCCATCCCGTGCCCCACGAGTTCTTCGCCAACCAATACTTCATCCCGTTAGCGCTCTTCCCATACCCGACGATCGTCACGGCATGATCATGGTCAGTCTTGCATTTGCCGGTGAACACACCACTGGAGTAGAACTGGAGGTTTTGGTTGATATCGACCGCAACCGACACCGGTTGGTTTGCGACCGCTTTCAGAAGGGCGTCCTCGTCATTCACAGGCACGTCCTCATAACCACCGATTTTGATGGTATGACCAAGGGAAGCCTTGGCTTTGCAAGCGCCTTTCGAACCATTATAAGGGTATTTGGCTTCGGTTACGAGCCCATTGTTTTTTTGGATGAACTCAAAAGCACCGTCCATCCAACCATTGTCGCAACCGTGGTCATCTCTGTCCACATCGCAATCCACAAGTTCTTGCTCCGACAGCGAAATCAAATTACCCGTAGTGATCTTAATAAGCCCCTCCACCGCCGCAACAGCTGAAAATGCCCAACAACTACCTGCATACACGTTATAAACGAACAAGAAAGAAAGGATATGAGTTGAACTCGAAAGCAAGACGTCTTCGAGTTTTCAAAGATTAACATAAGTATGTCTTACTGAATTAACGATAAAAAGTTACGTGATTTCTTACCACAACGGCCTTGGTCTTTAACCGGGGTGACCGCTCCCTTATTTCTCCAATCAATGGAAGATGGCACATTGGTGAAATTCGCGTACCTGAAAGAAGTACCATCTTTTGTGGACCCTATTTTGGTCTTTGGCCGTCTAAAGCCATTACGAAAAGCTCTGAACTCTTCGTTGGTCAAATCTGCAAACTCGTTGATTTTTAATTTGTAATCTTTGCCCAACGCACTGTTGGAGGACTCGACGTACTCCACATTGCTCTTGAATATCGCAAAGCGCCTCTCCTTTTCCATGGCGTCCTTGTAAGTGCGTCCATGCTGAGCCATCCATTGCTCGTGCCTTGACAACAAAGGGGACGCTGGATGGAGAGATCTGCCATCGGCTCGCGAAGCCCAAAGCCCTAAAATGAAAGAGACAAGCAAGAGAATCAGTTGGGGTTTCTTAGTGAAAGCCATGAAGTTGATTGTATTGTGGCAATGCATATCTAAAATCGCTCAGGGTTTATATAGACCAGAAAGTGTTTGCTTAGGTTTTGAGGCAGAAAATGTTTGATCGGTGCCTCGTTGGAACCCATTAAAATAGAGTTGAGAGTGATTTGCATGAAACCGATGGTCACTTTGCAACGAAATTATGCACGCAATGGCGATAATGAAGTGTGAAAATGTTGGAGAGAACCGCGGGCAACAATTCACCAAGAACTCAATCAATCCAGGATCAATATCTCCCCCAAAACTAAACCGACCGAAATCGACTTAATTCCAACAACAACCAATGATATTCCAGCAATATAACCACGCAATAATGAGGAAACAAATGCAACGACACCGAGATTTAACGTGAAAACCCAATGAGGGAAAAATCACGGACCGCCTCACACATAAAACTTCCACTAATCACCAAGAATAGTAGGATACACACTAGTTTCCTCTCTAGTCACACACTAGAGGTACAACATCAACATTTCAACATTATTCCATCACCACAAAGGTGGATTTACACAAAAGAAAGGAGAGAAACCCTAATCGTAATTGAAGAATTCGGAGGAGATTCTCAATGAACGAAACCGATCAACTCGTAGCCCTCGATCTCATGAACAACATACTAAAATTTAAGCCAATTCCGACAACGTTTGACCCTCAAATCGGGACTGCGAAGATGCGCCCCTTTTCTTCTCCCCTGTTCTCTCGCTCCCGGTGCTCTCTGCCTTTTTCTCTCTCCTCTGTGGGCTCCCATCGCCGCACGAAGCTGCCCCTTTTCTTTTTGTTCTTTTTGTTGCTTTTTTGTTTTGTTTTGTTTTGTTTGTACTGGCTGGGCCCCACATAAGGTGGACCCAGTCAACAGAAAATAACGTAAATGGTGACATATAATGGAGGAATCCTGGGATTTTTTACCTTGATTGAGCAAGATATGTCGATGAGGAGTGTGCATATTGCCCATCTGATACCAAATGATAAACCTCGCGAGCAAAACTACTCGTTCACGACACTCGCCAACATGTTATTTCAAATCTTACCTAGCATCTTTTATCTTTTAAGTTACTTGATAAAGATGTTATTCCTAATTTTTTTTTTTTGCCTATGGTAACGATTTTGTTGTAAATTTGCTCCCAAAATACCAAAAAAGCTGGTCATTACTCGGGGTGATTAGTACTTTGGCAAGCACACTAAGGCAGGCAGAACGGAAGGAAGACAACCTAACAAAAATGAAAGGACCAGCGTTTAGCTCGGCCGAAAGGAAATGCTTACCCCCAATTCCAGTTTCTTTGTGGGTTAGCTTAGAGAAAAGGTGGTCATTTTTCGATGGATAAGAATCTCTCTTCTTATAGATATTGAAACATGGTGATACTCGAGAGCGCCTTTACCGCCAGTAATGCTCGATTTCAGTGACTTGCCCTAATCCATAAGCAGGGCAGGGACGAAGAAAGTCGCATGAACCTCTTTCTCACGCTAACTGGTCTTAGAGTCCCTCCCTCGGTAGGATTATATACAAGGCTAAATCCGAGTAGTGGGTATACTTTGCCGCTTCTTGGATTTTTTTTAAATTGCTGACCCATCTAATAACCAAACCCCATATGGATCATCCTCCTCTTGCGCGAGACCAGCTACCTTTAGCGCACATCCAAGAGTACTCCCCTTTATATAAGAATGGATTTCTGAGGCTGGAACATGCTCTTAAGCAATAGTACTTACCGAGTAGTACTAGACGTCAGGCATAATTAATGGACATAGTAGTACGACGGAAACAATTGGTCACAAAAGGTCCATATTTGGTTGTTGGAAGTTGTGTCACACCCCCGAGTCCTACAGATATAAGGGTAATGACACAGCCATCATTCTTTTTTAAGGATGTAACCTCAAACACCAATTAATATAACATACTATCAAATTATATATATATCCATCCATATATCTAACTCAACAGCGACTTGGTTATAGAACCAAAGTTTATATAATCCATCAAAACATATTTATACATCTCCAACTCAACTAAACTCAGCAAATATCATCTCAAACATGTATTTGACTATCTCAACTTATACCCAAAATTCCCCATCAATATCGCTCATCTTACTTGCCGATAGCTGATGAACCAAAAAAGATTTCAAATGAATGGGATAAGCAACCACAACTCAACAAGTTGTACATATCTGTTCTAAGTATATCGAGTATCCACTATGCATATTTATAAAGCAATACCATAATGTAATAAATATATAATATACAAAATGAGTTATGCCTTTTTCGAAAGAGATTTCATATGTATATTGTCATAGTGAACAGTAAAATACACTCAACGTGAATAGTGAAACACAAAAATACTCTTTCAATGCATAATCACAAATCAAAGATCAATGGTCAAACCCATTGATTAATTTCTAGCAAACCAAACATCAATGGTCAATTCCACTGGCTAATCTCGTATGCTCAATATCCAACTCAAGGCTCTAGACGTGGGTTTGACGAAATCCACATCACCGTATAGCACTTAGTCTTTGACAACAAGGTTCTAGAGGTGGCTCCACAATATTCACAACACCGTGTAACACTTAGTCTTTGACCAATGTATATCAATAATACAAGATTCTAGAGGTAGCTCCCTCCATATTCTCATCATCGAGTAGCACCTAGTCTTTGACAATAAGGTTCTAGAGGTGGCTCCCACGAGATTCACATCACCGTGCAGCATTTAGCCCTTAACCAACATATATCAATAGTACAAGGTTCCAGAGGCGGCTCCCATGAGACTCTTGTCACCGTATAGTACTTAGTCCTTGATCAATATGCATACCTAGAAAGCAAACCCCTTATTGGGTTCTCCGAGACAATGAGTATCAAACCATCATCCTTCAATAATTCACAAAACCAATCCAAAATCCAAATCTTGAATCAACATACGTTTCACAAACCAAAACACATATCTTGCCACAACATAATGCCTTTCATAAACTGAGTTCACAAATCAGTATATAGGGTGAGTTTTGTTCAGCTTTTCCAAGGGACTTTGGGCCATTATAGTCCCTTGGGAAAAAGTTAGGGTGTTGGGTGGAAAAATGGTGGAGGACCTTGAGTTAAAGCCAGCATTGGCAAAGCTGAAAGCCCCTACCTTAAATGAAAGGCAGAGTTCATGAAACTTTTCCGATCCTCTTTCATGCTCTCAAAAACTTATTAAAATTTCAAATTTACCCCTTTTAAAATAAAGACTCTAGATCTCTCTTCGCTCGCCTCACGAACACAGCATCCTCGTGCTCGCCTCTCTTCACTCCCTTTGAATCAATCGAATCCCTCATTTTTTTTAAGTAGAATGAAGTCAATTGCTTGCCCTAATCGCTCGATTTCGCTCACTCTCCTTTTGTGTGGCGTCGAGCATCTTCTTCCTCCTGGTAGCTCAACTGCTCTCCGAATAGAAGCTGCATAACTCGCGAGTAAGACTGTTTCACACGGTTCTGTCAGAATCTTTTGGCTTCCTGGGTATCGTTCTCGCTGTCGCCCATCGTTGATTGTTTTCTGCTGTAGAGAAATAGCAATGCTTGTATTCGTTGAATGTTATTTTGTACAGAAGCGAGTGAGGTGATAGGACGAAGACCCACTTTTGATTTGACCGAATTTTGTACCACCTGGGAAGGTTGAAAAGTAGATTCCATAATTAGTGTCACTGAAGTATTGGAGATTTGTTCATTGACTTTGAAAAGGGTATCTTTCAAATATGTAGGAGATTTGTCCGCTATGTGGTGGCATATTCTTTGCTTCAGCAATGAATTTCCGGATGATTTTACTTGCGCATATTTTATGAAAATTGGGCATTGTTATGTGGGAAGGTGAGGAGTTCTTAATTTGTTTTAGAACAAAATAAATTGAGCTCTACTGTCGCATGTGAAGTTTTCTTTTTCAATTTTACCTATTGTCGACATGAGTAAAGCCATGGCAAACTCTGATTTTACACTATTGGAGGTGGGTTAATATCTTTTTACTGTCAGTTCTTCAGACATATTATAAATTTTGAAAAAGAAGTAGAAATTGATCTTATCTAGATTTCATAAAGCATTTTCCAAACCAACTCACAATAATACAATTTAGAACCATTACCAAAATTACTTTACCGTACCATTTCAAAATAATCAAAAGGATAGTGTATACCCGATCTGGATTTATGCAACAATTATGCTCGCTTTTCATAAATATCATACCGTCCCATGGCCTCCATAATCATTATATATACAATTTGTATCACTTTCAAATATAAGTTTACAATTTCAAAGAAGAGACAAGACCACTCATTTGGGAAAGTCTAAACCAAACAACGAAAGCTATCTCAAGTAGACAAATTCGTAATCCTATCAATTAAATGAGAAATAATATCAAAATCATGTAAAGCCCTACTCAATTACAAATAGATTAAACTAAGTTCAATCGCTGACAAAACGAGTCTAATTTTACAGGTTGTCAACATGAGTAAAGCCATGGCAGACCCCGATTTTACACTACTAGAGGTGGGTTAATATCATTTTACCGTCATTTCGTTGGACATATTCTAAATTTTGTTAAAGAAGTAGAAATTGGTCCTATCCGGATTCATAAAAGCATTTTCCAAATCAAGCACACAATAATTCAATTTACAACCATTTCCAAAAATACTTTACCGTACCTGATGCACCTAGGGGACCGGCGGACCTGTTATGCGACTGGACGAACCGGCGGGCTTGAAGTCAACGATGTCGGATTGAGTTCAAATTTGGTCGGCTGAAGCGAAACGGCGTGCTGATCAATACACGTAGCCAATGGCTACGACTAACGATGAATTTTCACGATTCGGGATCGTTTAGATGGTTTTTTTTAATTATTTTAGTAATTTTCGAATTAAGGGTATTTTTGTAATTTTACGTTTTGATGTTTACTAATCCTAGTAGGGTTAGGTTTGGGGCTATATAAGCTTATTTTAGGGTTTCGTTTGAGGAGACTTTGAATATTTTTGATTTGATAATCAT